TTTTGTTCATTATTATTTTATTTACTTAAATCGAAATCAAACTAACGTGATTGAACAGTTAAGGCTGAAACACACTAGGCAATCGCTTTAGTCGCGCGTCTGAAGGCTAAATGAAACACACTAGGCAATCCCTTTAGTCGCGCGTCTGAAGGCTGAATGAAACACACTATAATAAAATTTACAACTTCCTCATTCCGACGATTCCGTTTTTTTCGCCAACAGTAACAAAACACAAGTTTTTATGTCGACGTCACCGAAATACACGACGTTCTAGAATTCATTAAAAAAAAATCCTTCAGATAAACTTGTATATGCCAGTATTCTGTTGTAGAACCAAAAGTGAAATGAAGATATGATCTTTGCACTTTGCTGGACAATTTAAGCAAGTGTCATATGAAAGAATTCGTGAAACGAATGTCATATGAAATAATTATTTCATATGACATGAAAGGAATGTTTGCTTTGTCTGACTGGGTAACTATTATCAGAAGTCCTTCACTTGAGTCTATTGGACATATTTGAAAGGAATGTCATATGAAAGAATTCTTTCAAAGAATTATTTCATATGACACTCCTTTCACGAGAAAACATGAGCCCAACAAAATTGAATTCTTTCATATGACATTCCTTTCACAAGAAAACGTGAGCCCAACAAAATTTAATTCTTTCATATGACATTCCTTTCATGGGAAAAAATGAGCCGAACAAATTGACCTGCTCTCCACTGTGTGACTTCATAGCTCAGTTGGTCAGAGCACTGCACCGGTACCGCAGAGGTCATGGGTTCGAATCCCGTTGAGTCACCTGATTTTTTCAGGTTCATCAGACAATTGCTTAAATTGTCCAGCAAAGTGCGAAGATCATATTTTCATTTAATATCAAACACCGCACTGCATAAAACATTCTTTCATAGAACTAAAAGTGGTAAAATGTTATCATCGTTGTTTCACGTACGTTGGATAAGCAATGTCACCTTACGACGAGAGCAATTTCTCCCCTTACCAACCATACCACACTCGACAATTTCACCTGCTTGACTAACTTAGGATGCTGGTGATCCTCAGTAGCACATTGTTATCCTTTCTTTTGACAACTCAGTGACGCTGATTGTCTTGTGGTCTAACTTAGGATGCTGGTGATCCTCAGTAGCACATTGTTATCCTTTCTCTTGACAAGTCAGTGACGCTGATAGTCTTGTGGTCTAACTTAGGATGCTGGTGATCCTCAGTAGCACATTGTTATCCTTTCTCTCGACAACTTAGTGACGCTGATAGTCTTGTGGTCTAACTTAGGATGCTGGTGATCCTCAGTAGCACATTGTTATCCTTTCTCTCGACAACTCAGTGACGCTGATTGTCTTGTGGTCTAACTTAGGATGCTGGTGATCCTCAGTAGCACATTGTTATCCTTTCTCTCGACAACTCAGTGACGCTGATAGTCTTGTGGTCTAACTTAGGATGCTGGTGATCCTAAGTAGCACATTGTTATCCTTTCTCTTGACAACTCAGTGACGCTGATAGTCTTGTGGTCTAACTTAGGATGCTGGTGATCCTCAGTAGCACATTGTTATCCTTTCTCTTGATAACTCAGTGACGCTGATAGTCTTGTGGTCTAACTTAGAATGCTGGTGATCCTCAGTAGCACATTGTTATCCTTTCTCTCGACAACTCAGTGACGCTGATAGTCTTGTGGTATAACTTAGGATGCTGGTGATCCTCAGTAGCACATTGTTATCCTTTCTCTTGACAACTCAGTGACGCTGATAGTCTTGTGGTATAACTTAGGATGCCGGTGATTCTCAGTAGCACATTGTTATCCTTTCTCTTGACAACTCAGTGACGCTGATTGTCTTGTGGTCTAACTTAGGATGCTGGTGATCCTCAGTAACTCATTGTTATCCTTCCTCTTGACAACTCAGTGACGCTGATAGTCTTGTGGTCTAACTTAGGATGCTGGTGATCCTCAGTAGCACATTGTTATCCTTTCTCTCGACAACTCAGTGACGCTGATAGTCTCGTGGTCTAACTTAGAATGCTGGTGATCCTCAGTAGCACATTGTTATCCTTTCTCTCGACAACTCAGTGACGCTGATAGTCTTGTGGTCTAACATAGGATGCTGGTGATCCTCAGTAGCACATTGTTATCCTTTCTCTCGACAACTCAGTGACGCTGAAAGTCTTGTGGTCTAACTTAGGATGCTGGTGATCCTCAGTAGCACATTGTTATCCTTTCTCTCGACAACTCAGTGACGCTGATAGTCTTGTGGTCTAACTTAGAATGCCGGTGATCCTCAGTAGCACATTTTATCCTTTCTCTCGACAACTCAGTGACGCTGATAGTCTTGTGGTCTAACTTAGAATGCTGGTGATCCTCAGTAGCACATTGTTATCCTTTCTCTCGACAACTCAGTGACGCTGATAGTCTTGTGGTCTAACTTAGAATGCCGGTGATCCTCAGTAGCACATTGTTATCCTTTCTCTCGACAACTCAGTGACGCTGATAGTCTTGTGGTCTAACATAGGATGCCGGTGATCCTCAGTAGCACATTGTTATCCTTTCTCTCGACAACTCAGTGACGCTGATAGTCTTGTGGTCTAACATAGGATGCTGGTGATCCTCAGTAGCACATTGTTATCCTTTCTCTTGACAACTCAGTGACGCTGATAGTCTTGTGGTCTAACTTAGGATGCTGGTGATCCTCAGTAACTCATTGTTATCCTTCCTCTTGACAACTCAGTGATGCTGATAGTCTTGTGGTCTAACTTAGGATGCTGGTGATCCTCAGTAGCACATTGTTATCCTTTCTCTCGACAACTTAGTGACGCTTATAGTCTTGTGGTCTAACTTAGGATGCTGGTGATCCTCAGTAGCACATTGTTATCCTTTCTCTCGACAACTCAGTGACGCTGATAGTCTCGTGGTCTAACTTAGAATGCTGGTGATCCTCAGTAGCACATTGTTATCCTTTCTTTCGACAACTCAGTGACGCTGATAGTCTTGTGGTCTAACATAGGATGCTGGTGATCCTCAGTAGCACATTGTTATCCTTTCTCTCGACAACTCAGTGACGCTGAAAGTCTTGTGGTCTAACTTAGGATGCTGGTAATCCTCAGTAGCACATTGTTATCCTTTCTCTTGACAACTCAGTGACGCTGATAGTCTTGTGGTCTAACTTAGGATGCTTGTTATCCTCAGTAGCACATTGTTATCCTTTCTCTACCCAACTCAATCAACCTTCAGCTGTGTGCCATTCAATTATAGGAATGTAGGAATGTCTAAATTCTGCATTTCACAGAAAACTCTTAGACACTGTTACCAATAGAGCAATGTAGGAACAAACTTGTCGTTGAACCATAAAAACTTTTTAAAAAGGTTGAGAAGTAAAATGTTGGATATTTTCTTTTCATTCAATACATAAATACAGTGACACGCAAAAGTATTCAATACACTGGATAATTGTTAATATCTCACGTTCTAATCATTATTTTTTGATGAAACTTGCATGAAATATTCATGTTAGTGTAAGAAACAAAATCTCTGAAGGATATTGAAAAGCAATCAGTATTTTATTGTTTATTCAAAAACACATCAAAATAAGTAACGCAAAAGTATTCAACACATCAATTTAGTATTTAGTTGCAAATCCTTTTTTTCTGTTTTACAGCAAGAAGTCTCTTAGCATAGTTCTCAGTGAACTTCTTGCATGTCTCAGGCGTTATTCGATTCCATTCTTCGAAGCAGAAAGTTTTCAAATCGTCCATATTGTTAGGTTTCCTCTTGTGGACATTGATTTTGAGAATCCTCCACAAATTTTCGATTGGGTTTAGGTCAGGTGATTGGCTGGGCTATTTCATCACATCAATTTTGTTATCCGTAAACCATTTTTTCAATAGCTTCGAGGTGTGCTTCGGGTCATTGTCTTGTTGAAGCACAAAACCACTTTCAAACTGGAAGGAATCAACCGATTTCTTAAGTTTTTCCGTCAAAATGTCTCGATACATAAGGGCATTCATCCTTCCTTCTATGATCTTCAACCCTCCGACTCCATTCAAACAAAAACAAGCCCAAATCATTATACTACCCCCACTGAATTTAACTTTTGGGATAGTGTTTTTTGGAGCACGAGATTCTCCGCTTTTTCTCCAAACCTTGTTAGCACCATTATGACCAAAAAGTTCTATTTTTGTCTCATCTGACCATACAACAGTGTCCCAATACGTATCTGGCTTCACTAGATATTCGTCGGCAAACTTCAATCGGTCAACAACATGTTTCTTCTTCAGAAGAGGCGTTTTTCTGGGGGACCTGGAGTGAATACCTGCTCGATAAATAGTCCGACTGATAGTATCTTCGCTAACATTTACTTCAGCATCTTTTAACTGCTCTTGTATCTCTGAACGGGTTACAAATGGGTTCTGTTTCACTTTTCTAATGACCAAACTTTCACTTGCACCAGTAATCTTTCTTGGACGGCCTGTTCTGGGACCATTTCAAACAGAGTCACACTTCCTCCACACTCTGATGATGCATCCCACTGTGTTTACATTCACGTTTAAAGCCTGTGATATCGTCCTGTAATCATTCCCTTTTTGGCACAGTTCTACGATACGTTCACGCATGTAGTTACACAATTGCTTTGCTTTAACCATGGTTAAATAGTGAACACTAAGGGAAACTGAGTTCACGAATGGTTACAGAGGTATCACCGGCCATACTGACTTCAAAATAAAGACGGGGAAGCTGGTGATTGGTCAAATATTGTCATATTAATATGGAAATGAGCCATGATGAGATGTTCGCAATAAAACACTATAGTAATATGTTACCAACATTATGATAACATAATGTGTTGAATACTTTTGCGTTACTTATTTTGATGGTTTTTTCAATAAACAATAAAATACTGATTGCTTTTCAATATCCTTCAGAGATTTTGTTTCTTACACTAACATGAATATTTCATGCAAAGCTCATAACAAAATAATGATTAGAACGTGAGATATTAACAATTATCCAGTGTATTGAATACTTTTGCGTGTCACTGTATATACATGTTCTTGGTACAACAAATAAAATAGATAAAATTGATTGACTATATAAATTACAATTGTTCATTTATCCAGTTCCTAATTGATTTATCATTAACTTCTGCAGCAGCCACTGTTTCTTGACATGGCCAATGGGGGACTCTCATTTTTTCTTGTTTCACAGCAAGACATCTGTCAACGTGTTGTGGACTATAAATGTGAATGAACATGTTATCAAAGATTAGTCTGAAAATCTTTCAAACATTTTTAAACGAAACAGAAGTTAACAAATTGAACTACTTATCTAAAAGAATGTTTAAATTTTGTTTAAGAACCAGAAGTCCTGTGTTAAGGACGTCAAGGCTCTTTACTAAGAATGTGTAAAAAACCACTGATCTATTATAGCACTGGATGACACATTTAATATAAAACTAGTCAAACAATTACATTAATATTTGCGACTTTAAGCCTTTCTGTGATTCTGATCATACAAATTTTCCTATCGTGATGATAGAAGAATGTGGCAGTTTAGCAAAGCATTCTTAAAATAAAAAATTTAATAATTTTATATAAATTAAATGCAGTGAACTATGGCACTTTAATCAGAGGCAAAAAGAATGACATTAAGTTAAAATGTTGAAAACTATGTACAACAGCACTGACTAAACAAGATCAGCCATGTAGAATGATTTTGAATGCCAAGTTAGTTTTTTATTAGACTCGAATACAACTGCAAAAACACAACGGTAATGAACCACCACATGAAAACATGTTTTACTCTGCTATTATATTCAAAAAGTTCTTTTAGATGGGTCTTTCAAAGGCAGCATAACCTTCCATAACTGCTGTGCTACCTCAGTTTGATTATACATATACAAAACTAAAATTTGTCATTAACATTTTGAGAAATTGAAATATTTTGAACGTTGCTTGCAGTATGTGTGCATATATAAATATTTTAATGGTCGTATGATGGAATTTCTATGGTGTACTTACAAAACAACACATTTTTAGTGGAAGAGCTAAAGTAACAACAACAAACAAAACAAACAAACAACATTTGTATACCGGCCAGTATTAATTCCCGCCAGGGGGGTTGACCGGTCCATGAACATTTCTACGCCAAACGTCTCTATCTCTCGCCATATCTCTCGTTATACCCATCGCCTTCATATCACTGTTCACAGCATCCATCCATCTCCTTCTCGGTCTACCTCGTTTGCGGACTCCATCAACATTCATATGCAACGTTCTACGAATTTCAGCACTTTCTTCCCTCCTTTCCACATGCCCAAACCACCTCAAACGCTGGCGCCTTACCCAATTCTCGATACACTCAACACCAACTCTTTCTCTAATCTCTTCACTTCGAATCCCATCCATCAACGTTACACCACACATCATCCTAAGCATTCTCCCTTCCGTCGACGCCAATCTTCTCAGGTCCTCTGCTTTCGGCGCCCAACACTCTGCTCCATATCCCAAAACACTTCTAACACATGCCTTGTACAATTCTCCCTTCTGCTTCAACGAAGTCGACTTTCCTCACAACATTCCCGACAACTCTCTAAAACTCCACCACGCTGCTTGAACTCTGTTCCTCACCGCTTGCTCGCACCCTCCACCATCATTTAACACATCGCCCAGAAATTTAAACTCCGATACACCTTCCAAACTCACGTCACCCAGTTCAAACCGTTCAATCGCGACTCGCCCACCACTTCGACACGTCCCGCACTCAAAATCAGTTACTCTTGTCAATGCACCACGGACACCTGAACATCTTCCATGAACCCACTTACTGCATTTCCCACATTATCGAATTCACCCAACTCTTTTCCCACACACACCACATGGCCATTTATCACTGTCCTTCACCTCCACCTGCCTCGAGCATCTCATGCCCTTCGTCTTTGCCTCATTCACTTTCAGTCCCTTGACTTCTATTGCCGTTTTCCATTCTCGGTACCATTCCATGACTTTCTGCTTCGACTCCGCCACCAAGACAATGTCATCTGCATACAACAAACACCAGCATCCTTTTCTTCACTTCCTCTGTCAGTACATCCATCACACAAGCAAACAGTAACGGCGACAAGACTGAACCTTGATGAACACCAACTTTTACCTCAAAAACACCAGATCTAACACCTTCCTCCGTAACCACCGCCTCTACACCTTCATAAGTCTCCATAACTGCCCGAACCATATTCTCTGTCACACCTTTCTTACGCAGCGCGTACTCGATCACCTTTCTCGGAACTCTATCAAACGCCTTCTCCAAATCTACAAACACCATATACAATTCTCTGTCCTTCTCCAAAATTCTCCTGCAGCTGCCTCAACACAAAACACGCATCCGTCGTTCCTCTCCCGGTATGAATCCATACTGCTCTTCCCCATCCGAACAACTTCCCTCAACCTTCTTTCAAACACTCTCTACTATCTTCAACGCATGCTCCATCAGCTTAATAGTCCTGTAATTCCCACATACCGTCGCTGCTCCTTTTCCTTTGTACAGCGGGACCACTAGACTCTTTCTCCATGTACTCGGCATCTTTGAGCCCTCAAAACCTCGTTCGCTACATTACACAACTCTCACGCATAGTTCATTGTCCAACATTTCGCTACCCACTTCACTCGGTCCCGTCGCCTTTCCTTTCTTCATCTTGCGCAGAGCCGCCGCCACCTCATCAACAGTCACTATTTCCCACGGCCCAAAACTTCATCCGCTTCAACTTCTCCATTCCACTCATTCTCTACATTCATCAAACGGTCACAGTACGCCCTCCACACTTCTAACCTGTCTTCCAATAACACCTTCAACTCCCCATCGTGGTTCTGCACGCCGGGAGCACCCAAAATATCGTTCCTCTCCTTCTTGCTCCTTCTAGCAGTTCTAAACAACGCTTTCGTCCATTCTCCTGCATTTTACGAAGCTCTTTCTGATGCCTTTCTATCGCTTTAGCCACCTCCTTTCGCGCCTTTTTCTTGAACCGGATGTAATCGATCCTATCTGCTTCAGTCCGCGACTTTCTCCACCTTTAAATGCCAACTTCGCGCCAATCACTTCGCTGACTCGTTGATCCCACCACCATGCCTGTTCTTCTACTACACCGCCTTTACTTCTACAACATACCTTCTCCGCTGCCTTTAAACACCCTTATCCAGCACGTCCATCGCTCCTCCACCGTCTCACCTCAACATTCAATGTCACAATTTCGTCACGGAAACACTGCTTCCCTTCATTCGATCGTAACTTCCATAGCTGCCCTGCCTTTACCCTCAACCTTTCTCTTCACCTTCCTGATTCTCCAGTCCATGACCAGCAGCTTGGGTCACACATTCTTCTCCTGCAATCACTTTGCATCCTTCACGTTTTCCTCTTCTTCATTCACCAGTATATAATCCACCACCGTCCTACTGTCACCAGATTCATACGTCACAAGCTTGTTTCTTCCTTTATAAACCACGTATTCACTACCACCATCCCACAACTCGCTGCTAACCCAATATCGCCTCGCCTTCAGCATTCATATCACCAACTCCAAAACCTCCATGCGCACAGTATCCTTTTCTTACGCTTCCCACATGACCGTTCCAATCACCAAGCATCACACATCGCCCTCTAATGTCTGCTCTCACTGCATACACGCTGTCGTAGATTTTTTCCTTCTCCTCCGCACTTCGTCCAACCTGCGGAGCATACACCACAACGAAACTCACAACTTCGGCCTGAATAACTACATCAACTCTCAGGACCCTGTCCGAAACTCTCTTCACTGCTACAACCGACTTCGCCCAATCCTCTCTTATCGCAAAGCCAACACCATTCGTGCCACTTCTGTTTCCCTTCCAAAACCACTTAAATCTCGCTCCATTATCTTCACCCTTTATGACTCTCGTACCTTCACCTTTAAACCTTACCTCCTGAAACCCACACACATCAACTTTCCTTCTCTTCAACATGTCCGCCACTTCTGCACTCCTTCCCTTAATTGTCCCAACGTTCACTGTGCCTACCCGAACGGTGACACTTCCACCAACATTCGATCCGGAGATTCTTCGCACCCCCTGCCCACTGAAGGGCTGCCGGGGACTGGGGGCCATATCTTCTTTTCCAAAGTTCATGAATTTTGTTGGAGGAAACGTTTTACGGTAGGATGCCCTTACTTACACCAACCCCTTTTAGTCGTCTTTTACGACACGCAGAGGATACGTTGGCGCAATTCTAAGCCGGCAACCACACGGCAAAATATGGTGATTGCATGAGGATAATATAAGATATGGTATGGTATGAGGATCACATGGTGGTAGCACAAAGATGATGTGATGATGGTTTGAGGATTATATGTCATACGAGGATCACATGGTGGTAGTACAAAGATGATGTGGTGATGGTTTGAGGATTATAAGGTATGACATGAGGATCACATGATAGTAGTACAAAGATGATGTGGTGATAGTTTGAGGATTATATGGTATGATATGAGGATCACATGGTGGTAGGACAAAGATGATGTGGTGATGGTTTGAGGATTATATGGTATGATATGAGGTTCACATGGTGGTAGTACAAAGATGAAGTGGTGATTGTTTGAGGATGATATGGTATGATATGAGGATCACATGGTGGTAGTACAAAGATGATGTGGTGATGGTTTGAGGATGATATGGTATGATATGAGGATCACATGGTGGTAGTACAAAGATGATGTGGTGATGGTTTGAGGATGATATGGTATGATATGAGGATCACATGGTGGTAGTACAAAGATGATGTGGTGATGGTTTGAGGATGATATGGATATGAGGATCACATGGTGGTAGTACAAAGATGATGTGGTGATGGTTTGAGGATGATATGGTGATGGAGGATCACATGGTGGTAGTACAAAGATGATGTAGTGATGGTTTGAGGATGATATGGTATGATATGGATCACATGGTGGTAGTACAAAGATGATGTGGTGATGGTTTGAGGATGATATGGTATGATATGAGGATCACATGGTGGTAGTACAAAGATGATGTGGTGATGGTTTGAGGATGATATGGTATGATATGAGGATCACATGGTGGTAGTACAAAGATGATGTAGTGATGGTTTGAGGATGATATGGTATGATATGAGGTTCACATGGTGGTAGTACAAAGATGATGTGGTGATAGTTTGAGGATTATATGGTATAATATGAGGATCACATGGT